ACAAACTGTTTTTCCTGATTTTGTTTTTTTTTCTAATCACAAAGACGGACCCATGGAAGGGAAGAAGACGAAAACGCCATGTAGGGGGACGTTGTTCCCAGTTCGCCACAAAGGCAGCCAGAAGAAAAAAAAAAAAAAAAAAATTGCGACCATTACAAAAATTTTTATGAGCAACTGAGGAGAAGACGATGTGACGAGTTCAGACTGCGAGCTGCACACAAGTTTCTGCGCACTGGTTTGTGCCACGTGCATCTCATCCAAGAGGGCGCCAATGCGCAGTTGCATTCAGGAGAGGAAAAAAAAACAGTTCTCATTTTGTGTAAAAAGTCGCTTCGCTACCTCAGCGAGGTGTGTGCAAAATGGAAAAGTTCGCAAAATTGCTTGAGCAATGATAACTGCCTTAATTGCCTGAACAGGTCAGGTGAATTTGCGGGGGAGGGAAAAAACTTTTCGGTCAAGGAAAAACACGAACGTTTAAAGAATGCATCGCTCTGGAAACTGATGCACAAAATGAAGCATAGGAAGGCGTGCGGTTGGGGATCTACTATAGGAAAGAGAAAGCGCGCCGACTTGGATACTTCAATGGAGGGGCGTGTGGAGGAAGAAGGGATCCCCGGGGAAGAGAAGCCTAACCCAGATAGACTCTTCACCGTAACCTGCGTGTGCATATACCTGCTATGCAACACCAACTGCTACAACCATTACTACCGTCTGATGAGTCTTCTGAGGGAGATTAGGACCTTCCACTTACACGAGCGAGTGAATCATTTCGTTAACGAGTTAGCCAAGGTGGACCCCAAGTGTCAGCATGTCTGGAACATGAAAAATGCCCTCCTCTACATGTACGTGGAGATGTGCCTCAAGAGGAGTCACCTAGTTGTGAAACAAAAAAAAAATAAGAAAGACGCGCATGTATATTCAAATGAGGAAATTTTAAAATACGTGAAGGACAATTTCCGCTTTTTTGTTAACATATTGGAGCTCAAGTCGTACAACTATATGGCCACGTCTCACATTTGTAAATTTAATCAGCTTATTGGTTTTCTGTGCATGCGAAAAAAGAACGGTCCTTGTGAAAGCACCTCACTTCGCAGAACGATGGAGAAACGGTTTTACACAATTGTAAAGAAAAATGCCTACTACTACGCCATGCACAATTCGTTCCTTCTGGTCCATCTTCAGGATATGTATCTCTCCCTGGTGGAGTGTTTAAGGGACAGCTACTACTGCGTTGCCGTAAGGACAAACCTGTTTACGTATAGTTTCGATTTGGTCAGAGGACATGAACTGTGCAGTGATGATCGGTGGGAGATGGCGAAAGGTGGGTGGGTGGTGGTTGGAAGTCCCCGGTATGGCAGTAACCGATGTGGGTACGAGCGAGCGAACTCCAAGGGCGTGCACACAAGTAACAACCGTCGCAGAGATGGTCGACACGACGGGGGAGAAGGACCCTTACAGGCAATGTCCAACACTATGGAAGAAATCACGTACAGGGAAGAAGTGCACATGGGGTACCCCCCTGTGAGAAGCCATTTTTCCCACCACAAAAGTACATACCTCGAGTATATCCTGTTTGAAAGGGATGAGGGGAAAAAAAAAAAAAATGAAACAACAGAAAAAAATTATGAACAGGTCAGAGAATTTACGCCACATATATTGTACAAAAAATTGAAAAGCAAAATGAAAAAATATAAAGATCTTTCGAGACAGATGATCCACCTGTTGGACAAATTATATAGCGAAAAAATCTACATTCATTTTTATTCCAATGTGCTGAGGAACGTGCTGTACTGCCGATGCAACTGTAACTTTTTTTTCCTCGAGGTGGTCTGTAATGTAATCCTACCGCTGCAGCTGAAACGGCCCATTGGAGGGAAGAATGATTCACCAATTGGGAGAAGCGATGAATGGGAAGGAACATCTGCTTTGGAAAACCAACAAACGGTAAAAAAAAAACGCACACGGGAAGAAATATCACGGCTGCTGCGCTCTGTAGACCGTTATCTTGAGAAAGAATTGAAATACCTCTTCCATGAGTACACTCTCTTCAGAGTAAAATATAGTGGGGAAAAAAAAAACAATCTCACCAAGCGGGTTAGCAGACTGCTCAAACGGTGCGAACACGTTCGTAACACGTGGTATCACAGGCGCGCTTCTAGAAAAAGGGTCATTAAAACGAAACGGAAAATGTGGACTGGAAATGGGTTGCCCATGGTTTTCCAGCACGGCCAGGATGACCCCCCTTCACATCCCAGAGAGCAAAAGACGCAACAAACGGGAGAAGCCACATGTCCCCCTTTTCTTGTAAGCTATTATGGCATTTTTTTCAAGTGCATAATTTACACTATACATGAATACGCGTCGCAGATATGTGGGCTGCTGCGTGGGACAGTCAGACAAGTCCCATCTTCATTTGTTGACGCAGAACATTTTCAGCATTTCAAATGCCCTCACCATCTTCTTCCCCAATTTGAGGAAACCAGACAAAGCAACAGATTAATCCTCCATGACAAACTCAACTGTAATGATAATTTACACACCTTGAGAAAAATATACTTAGACATATTACGCTTTTTTAAAAAGACAAAAATGAAAGATTTGAACAAAACGGGCACCTCGTTTGGTCATTTGGCCAACCGCCAATCCAAGACAACACCCAGAAGAGGTCCAAACGAAATGCCCTTTTTGAAGTTCCTTTTTTCCGCGAATTTCCGCCTCTTTTTGTGTGAGCACAGGTACGCGCTTTATCTGCTACGCGAGGTGCGCCGGGCGCTACACTTTGTCTTCCCAAGGGTGCAACGCCGAGTTATGCGCAGGGGTAGGCTTCTGTGGAAGGGACCGAGCTAATATAGCCCCCGCCCACATCCGTAAACTCCTTACCCCAAGTGCATGCCCCACCTTAAAACCATTTTTTTTTTTTTTTGTGAATTTTTTTGTAAACCCAAATAACGCCTTTATTATCCCTGTTGGGAACAACTGTGCGTAAAAATGTTGGAGTCCGACAAAAAAAAAAAAATAAATAAAAAAATTGACACTGGCCCGCATGCGGGTTTATCATAAATACAAACGAAAACACGTACAACCATTGAGGCATTCGTACGTAGGTAACCGCACCCCCACATCGGCAGTTGCAAGAATGAGGACGGTGCGGGGGGGTACAACAAAATGGAAAAACAAAGAACCATTCTCACATATGGTTACATAAACATGGGCATATCTACATATGCATATAATGTAGATGTACATTGTTGCATACGCATGTTGACATATGCATGGGTTACTCTCCCCTGGGGGGTGTATGTCGTTGGGGAGTACTTCACCTCTGCTTCTTCGCCTAGTCTTCCCTTACGGCGCCTTCTCACCGCTACATCACTTCACTGCTCTGCGCTGCCACCCCCGCGCCTAATCCTTCCCCTCCTGACGGTAGGCAAATATCGCGCAGGCGCACTTGCGGTGTTTCAAGTAATCTGTGAGGATGTAACGAACGCGCTCATTGAGCAGGTCGTAGAGCTTCATATATCTGAGTTGCAGCTGCTTCCTCACCTTGAATTCCTTTTCAATGAGCAGCTTAATTTTGCAATTGCTATTTTGGATTTGCTTCCTCAGGTTTTCTAAGTTGTTGTGCCAGTTGGCTAGTTCACGTTCATACATTTGTTTGTCGCAAAAGTTCAGAACATACTTGAGGTTGTTTTGCTTAATCTGTTGCTCATTTTGCAGCATGGCTACTTTTTCTTCTAACATGCTCCTTATGGAATGCTTCTCTGTGATTTCTATTCTTAACGACTTCAATTCCTCCGTCATTTTTGCAACTTGTTCACGGTAGCTCTTCTCCTGCTCATCTTCGAAGTTGCTGTAGTCTACCTCGTCACTCAGGAACGTCAAGGGGAAATTGTCAAACAGGATGTGCTCTTTCTTCATCCTTCCTGGAGCAGCTCAGCGTGTGTGTAGGGGGGGGGGGGGGGGATACTACTGCTTCAATGCCGTGGAGACGATTACACTTCAATTATATATGTTACACCCCCTTTTGCAGCTTCTTCCCCCTTCCGTTTGGTCTTTTCCTTCACCGCGTCGTTTGGCTTCAACAACCCTGTTGTGCTTACTTCGGTAGATCAGTAACTTTTTTTTTACTAGCAATTATGACAATTGCGACACAGGGTGTGGGTAATTGGCCAACCTGCTAGAAAAAGTTATAAACTGTTGGTATGCCCTCCCACCGAGCTTACGCACGCTTATAAGTAAATGGCAAATTGTGGGATGCGATGCTTATGTTTTTAGCCGTTTGACCCCTCTTGAAGAAACGGGTCTGTCAATTTTTTTCCACTGCTATGTGGTCATTAAAATGATTTGCTAGCTCGGCATTAATTCACCCTTTCCATGTTACTTCCATTTTTTTTTTTTTTTTTTTTTTGCCTTCATAACGTCGGTCATTCGTTTCTGCGCGGTGCTCATCGGTTATGCGCCGTACCTGCGCGTCGCCCATTGTTGCAGGCATTGCCGCGCAAGTTTCCTCTGCCCCCGGCCACAAAAAATGAAGAAGGTATAAATGAATACCTTTTTTCCCCCCCTTCCATGGGAAAATGAACACCGCAAAAAAAAAAAAAAAAAAAAAAAAAAAAATGATCAGCTGGGAAGCTCACATCCTATATGAGGCCACAAGGTATCCTTCACTCTCGCAAAATGTTTTTCTCCCCAACGATGAAAATGTCAAAGTGGCTGACGCTTATGTTCATGTCATGCTTCTTGCAGAAATCTCGAATGACTTGGGAGACCTTCCTCTTCGTATCGTCCAACATGTACTCCTGAAAGGGAAAAAAAAAAAAAAAGGGTGTGTGTGAGAAGTGTATAAATGGATGCAACGAATGGAGTCATTAAAAAAGGGGAAAAACGAAAACTGCGTGGGGAGAGAAGCAACGCCGAGGTGGAGCAATTCAACCCCAAGCATCCGCTTCGCTGAATGGATAGGCAGGACAAGGAATGCCCCGATTGCGTTGTCTCCTCTGCTTCGCCCACCCTCGCTTCGTCATTTCACCTGTTCGAGCAACACCACGGAGTTGTAGAACTTGCGCATCTTCCCATTGACCATATTGTCGAGTATGTTTTCAGGCTTTTTCAACCCCTGCAGGGACTCCCGAATGATCCCCATCTCCCTCTGCACAACATGTTCAGGCAAATCGGAGATGGACACACTCACGGGTTTAGCGGACAAAATATGCAGAGCCATATCATTTGCAATTTCAGCAATACATTCTCCTTTGCTTTTTAATTTTTCTGTCAGCTGTTCAACTGTTAAAACGAGCAGGACGCCGGAGGTCCCTATGTTTTCCTCCACCTGATTATGAATGTAATAATGTAAAAACTGGTTTTCATTTTTGCGTTCATATTTGGCGAAACGTCCAATGCGTATGTCTTCACGAAATATATTTCTTAAGTAGTTTATCTGCTCTCCCACCGTGGTGGCTGCATCACCGCTGTGATCGTCATAGGGAAGACTCAGCAGCGGTGTCGCCCCTGGTGAGGAAACGCCCGTGCAGGTAGGCATAGCATTATGCTTATCGTTATCATCTCCTGCATGCGTTGCGCCTATTGCGGACGGGGAGCCCACTGCTAGAGCAGCACACAGAAGAGTGCGCACAAAGCGCACGAACTTTTCATTCCGGGCCACAAAATCAGAGTCCGTTAAAACTTCTAACATAGCGACTTTGTCCTCGCCTCCCCCCATTTGGGCACCAACGAGCCCCTCCGTTTTAACCTTCACAGTGGTAGACACAAAGGAAGAGTTCTTCGCGCTCCTGCGGACCATCTCAATTGCTTTCTCAACATCCCCTTTGCATTCCTTCAGTGCATCGTTACATGTTTGTACGCTCGCATTGGTTACTTCACGGATGTACTTTAAATTTTGTAGGTGTTCACTTGGTGGGTTTGCACATAAGTGTGACCTGTAGACCCATTTTCTTTTCCCCACAAATGTGTTAAGGCTACTTACCAGTTGGAAGGTTTGGTTACTTCTGTAGCACCGGTGCTGGGGCAAAAGAGGGGAACAGATCACTAGGATGAACTTGAGCAGGGTGTGTAATTTCATTTCATACAACTGGTCTGCACGAAAGGGATCCTTTTTTTTTTTTTTTTTTTTTTTTTTCCCTTTTGAGGTCGTCTTGCGGGGAGACGTGGTGGTGGGGGGCTGCTGTGCTCCCCCAGATTGGTCAGTAATTTAGGTGCCTATGCATTAACACATATGTTCGCCTGGTGAAGGTTTCATTTTTTTACCCTTTCCGTGCATATAACATTATAACCCTCTAGAAATGCTTAAAAAAAAAAAAAAAAATAATAAAAATAAAATCATAATTAAACGGGTTTTCCCCTTTTCGGGTGGGAATGGGCTCAGTTGTGATCTCCCCCGACAAGGCGCCAGAAGTCGTAGGTGAAACATTTGTTGGCACGAGTCCAAGCGGATATTTTTTTTTTTCGAAAGGGAAAAAGAAGAAATAGGGGCGAATGTATCGCTACATAGTTCCAGCCCATACATTCATACATATCTCCTTCTTGGGTGCATTAATAGTGTTATACCCCGTGGGTAATTTCAAGCAGAGGGGAAAAAAAAACATGCACAGGGAGAGTTGCTTTCACTTAAAAAAAGTTGCACCCACTAGGAACGGATGATACATGCGGAGACAGTACCCCATTTGGCATAACTAGGGGGAATTTCCCGGCGGGGGAAAAAAAAAAAAAAAAAAATACAAAATTGAACGCGAGCGGGATGAATAAAGCAAAACGGGAAAGAAATCCGCAGACGAAGCTACTAATACACACACAACGGTGAACAAGCCTCGCGCAGTTCTGCAGATGGTCAAGCGGATTTGCGCTGCGCCTCCTTTTTGGCCCCTTTAAAAGGAAGCATCAGAAAAGTGGAGCGGCACAGTCCATAGGTGTGTGCGTGTGGGGGCGGGGCTTGTTTACCAGCGGGGCATAGCCCTACCCCTTTCCCCCCCCCTTCAAATCAAATCAATGATCGGATGTAGGTGAGCCAGCCTTCGTCTACCTTGTACTCATTCAGTCGTTGAATATCCTCTCCAACTGTGCCTTGCAGAGCTCGCGCATTCGTTCCCTGTAGCAGCATGCCGGACGACATATCCCCCCCAAAGTCAATGAAAGAGTTTAACTCATCATAGTCTTCAATGAGGTCGTCAGGTTTGAGTAGGTCCTCTTGGCTGCCACGAAGTTGTTCAGGCACATGTGCACAATTTGCTTCCCTCATTGCATCTAACTTAGATGCGCCATCTTGTGTGCATATCGCTTCACCCTCTTCTTCATGTTTGGCTGCCCGATTCGAATGACAAGCCTTCTTCACATGATCAAAACGATCCTCAAAGTAATTTTGCATCTTAGTAATGTCGCTGAGGATGTTTGAATTTATTCTAACCACGTGGGTAGCAAATATTTTTTTCTTCTTCAATGTGTAAATGCAGGAAGCATTATCAAATTTGTTATAAAGCTGATGGACGACCCATTTTTGGAAGGTGAGTACATTTAAGCAACTTTCAAACCATGTGTAAATGTGTTTATTTCGTTTCTCTTTCTCCTCCTGTGGAAAGCCATCCCTCTCATGAGCAAAGTACAACTCGTAAATGAAATGAGTGCAGTCCAGCATTGTTCTGTTCATGAGTTCGAAGGAAGTGATGAGCTTGTTGACGTCGTTTGGCTTCATGTAGATGGGTGCTTTTTTTTTTATGAGGACGCTTGTTCCTTCATCCTTATGGTAATGCTCAATTCGATACTTGGTGCAGCGCTCGATTGTTATGTGGGAGGCGCGGTAAGGATTGCACCACTGTGGGGTGATTTGCTCCTCCCGGTTAGTCCATCCCATGTCACTGTTGTTCCCGGCTGGCTTCCCCACTTCTCCCCTCTGCAATGTTAACGCGGCGGTATTTGCATAATCCCTTGCGCAGTTTCCAACGACGAGTCGCCCAGACCTGTTCTCATTCGGGTTGTACTTGTGCGGGGCGTCAATCTGGTGGTCACTCGTGGCCTTTGCCACGCTTGTCACGTTTTGTATGTTTGCCCCCTGCCCATGCGAACCATCATCACTTGGCCTATTTTGAACTTCTCTCATGTGATACGCATCACCCCGTTTGAGTCCTTGGCGTTCGTCTTTCTCCTGACCAATGAGCATGTGCGGGGTGTCTCGCATTGGTACATCCTCCCCGGCGGGAAAACACACTCGGCGTATCTTTTCCGTGTGGCCCATTTCGAGCACTTGCTCCACCCGTGTGCTTTGCCCATACCGAGTGTGACCCCCCGAAAGAGGTACCATCAAATCACAATTTTCATTTTCATCCAACATGGAAATGAAGAGAAATTTACAAGCAGACAAAATGGCGGTAACGCTAGAAAGCGATTTATTTAAACGCATATTCAAGTACTCCTGAACGAGTAAGGTGTTCAGTTTGCAGCATAACAGGTGGTTAATTTTAATTGCGAAATGAAAATTATTGTTCATGGCTGCATAGATGCTGTTAAATGTGGACATTTTACAAACGAAAGCTCCTAAAGCATTTTTGTGAAGAAAGGTTAAGTAGGCCTTTAGGGATTCGTAAAAAATGGATTCGACCAAAGGGAACTTGCTGGAAGATATAAAAAATTTATAACCACTGTTAATTTGTTCAAACTTCCTTTTTATCCAGGTATTTTTGTCACTCATGGATAAGAGCTCCTTTTTGCAATTCATTTGTAATGGGTTCTGTAGATTCACCAGGTAGCTATGCACAAGATACTGATCATCCACATGTATGTATTTTTTTTTTTCTAGAAATTTGTCCACTAACAAACTTAAATAAAAACTGATACTGCTGGAGTAGTTGCTATTCGTGCGAAGAGCATTCATCAGGAGAATAATGGATAAGACAGACAGTTGGACAGAGTTCTTTTCCTCACTTGTCACTTGATTTCCCATTTCTGGTCCTCCTCTGTTCTTACTTTTAAACTTTCCCTTCAAAATGCATTTATTTATGTATACATTATCTTTTTTTATATCTTCTTTCTTCTGTAACTTTAGCTTTAGTATCTCGCTCTTGGTCATCACGAGACTTCCGAATGGAACAAATGGCTTGTACACGGTGCGTCTCTTCGGGGGTCTCTTCTTCTCACCTGCCTCCACGTCACTCACGAAATGAAGGTTGAAGAGAAAATTGTCTGCGTACCGCTTATACCTGTTGTAGGACTTGTTCTGGAAGTGTCGGCTCCGGGGTGGTGACACATATGCTCCAACTTGGAGGCCCTCCTTGAAGCGACGCCTGTCCTTTTGCCGCTTTACCTTGTAGCTCTTCACGAGGAAGGTGTCGTCTACTACGAGCACCTCGCTAGTCAGCTTGCTCAGATGCACATCTGATACAAACAAACACATGACTCGGAAGCATAGCAAGCGAAACAATCTTTGAGTAAAAAAAAGAACAAACCTTTTTCCAAAGGAACATAAGTTGAGGCCACCAGACAAATATTTCAACACCAACATGATCAGCAGCGTCCTGTACATGTGCAATTTTTCATCATGGTATTCACTCCAAATGTAAAAATCGGTTTTGATTTCTCTGTACAAGAGTTTTATTGCTAGGTTCAGGTTGCAGTTTTTTTTTTCGAGGCGACGTGGCCGTGAGCGGCGGTTGCTTGCATGTGCGGAGCGATAATAAGGCGGTGCGATTACACCACATGTGACCGAACCACTACATGGACACCGCCTGACAAAGGAGTACTGCCACTTGGACCTCTCGACATATTTCATTTCCTGTTGGTGAATTTTTAGCGCCTCTTCATTTTTATTTAACTCTAAAGAAATGTGCAGCTGGACTGGAAATTCCTCATTCTTAACATCAAAGCACTTGTCCTTCACATCATCATTAATGGTTATAGTGGCGTTAAGTAGTTTTGCCAGGGAGAGAAAAATTAAGGGGTACACATCGAGGATTATATTTGTGTACTTGTTTCTTCTCCTTTTAAGTGTTCCTTTTTGCTCTCCCTCCTCCTTCTTCCTTTTGTTATAGGCAATGTTTTTTTTGTTCCACTTGAGGACGCCACTTAGGATCTTTCCATACCGTTCTCGCATACGTTCCTGTGTCTCACACGGGATTTTTCTCCTGTCTCGTATCTTCTGCTTTGTGCTTCCTCCCGCCAAGCGTCTATCACATGAGCACCCATCGAATATGCGCCCGTCAATTGTGGCGAACACACTACCCAACTGAACATCGCGCATCTTTCTCTGCTCATACAGGACGGTGAGAATATGCTGGGCTGTTCTTTCACTAAACAGGGGGTCATTATTTCCTATTGAATTATTTTCTCGTATTTTTACACTTTCCAACTTTGTCGGCATCACAGCATTTTCCTTCTGGTTCGTTCTGGCGCAGCGGGGCGATGAGCACTTCTTCATCCTCTTACCAGGGGGCACATTTATGCCATCTTCACCTATGATCAAGTGATACTTGTCCATCACGTGTTGCGCGTGTCCGGTCCATTTGACTTTCTCCCACTTCGAAATCGCTGCTCCCTCTGCGGGCGCGCCGTCCGACAAGGCACCCTTCTCACAGTAGTAACAACGATAATCATGTTGCTTCTCCTCCTGTGGCGATCCCCACTGCATATATGTAGACGCGTGTCCACGTGCAACCACCCTGTTGGTACTCTCCTGCTGTGTCATGACTCTCCTTTGAAGCGAATAGGAGAATCTCGTAAAGTGCATAAAGTACATTTTAAAATTTTGAAATATCTTCGAAAAGAAAAGGACATACATGAGGAACATGCAGGGGCAGGGCTTCACATGCAGTTGCGCGTTTAGGTACTTTGTCTGTTCGCAAAGTGAATCCGCAAGGGGTGGGCGCTGCCCACCGGTGTGATTGCTCCAATCGGCGTGACTGAGTCGAGCGCTGTCATTACTTCTCCCCCTTTTGGCGCCACACCTCAGCAACCCCCTGAGATAAAATGCGCACACGTCAGGCAAGCCGATCTGCAAGCCACCCAAATCGAGATGCATAAGATCCAGCGGCTCCCGTCTAGCCAAAAAATAATTCACAAAAGAGATGCTACGGAAACATTCCTCTCGCATGTCACTCCTAAAAATTATTTTCGTAACCAACCCGCTCAGTTCCTCATCTGTGGTGTACATTTCAACCAGAAAACGCTTCAGCCTGTCTGTATCAACTTTATGTATGAAGGAAAGAAACAACACATCGAACAGGGTGCTAAGTGTGGCACACCCCTTGAACAACTGGAGACACCTGCACAGCATGAAGAGAGTGGCATCCACGAAACTTTCATTCGCGTAGTGGTTTCGTTTAGCATTCTTTTGTAATCCATTTGTGGGTTCTCTTTTGGAAGAGACCACATCGCAATGTTCCATGCATTCCTTCCTCATCAGTTTTGCCTTCCCCATCGGTTTTGCCTCTCCGTTCGTGAGGCTGTCCAACGGTACGGACTCATCATTTCCTTCGTGGGAGGGGTCCTCGTTTTTATTACAGGGAGGTCTATTTTGCAATTCCCCCATGGGGGTATCCTCCATTTTGTAGGTGTCCATCACGTCGCTTCTTAGCTTAAGACCATCCTGTTGAGTTACGTGCGTTTCGCCCTTTCCTTCTTGTCCTCCTCCATCATCCCTGCGAGAGTTACACGCCGAATGCATGGTAATCACGGTGGTAGTCGTGGCCGTTATGGTGGTCGTGGGAAGGCCGCCTTCCCCCCTCACTTGTGTACTCAGCAAATCCCTCCTAACAGTGCGTCGGCGCCTCCACCCATTTGGGTCTCCCGCCCTGACGACTGACAAACACCCATCCGCACCATCCAGTGCGTCCATTTTTTTTTTTTTTTTCAACTTAACAATTGTAAAAATATTTCGTAACCAAATATTATCATACACCCTCATCAGGTCCAAGGCAAAAAACTTCATGTACTTGAAGGTGACGTCTGTGTAGTCTCTGAGGTGGGAGAAGAGTTGTTTGTGGAGACTGGCCAGCTTGTCATTCTTGAAGAAGGTCATTATGGATCGACTGAAGGAAAAGGATGTGTACTCCATGAGCACCCCGATGAGGAGGTACACGAATGAGTAATTCACGTTCGCGGGGTCGTCCCACTTGCTTCCAGTGCGATTGTTTTCCTCCCGCTTTCTCCCCTTCCTCTCCTTTCTGCCTGACCTGTTCATAACCTTTTTAACATTTTTCAAGCAACGAATAATTTTCTTGTACAAAGTCCTGCTCTTTATTTTCACTCTGTGAAAATTGTAAGTAAGCTTAAATGTTAGCGTGTGGTCCAAAATATGCTTTAGCAGATTTACGTAAATGGAAGAGTTGTTTTTTGCAACGTAGAGGACGTACAGGAGGATGAGGTCCTGTCGTTTCGAAGCGGGTAGCGATGCGGCCTCTAACGTAAAGTTTCCTTTTGTCGCCCCAGCGTGCTCGCCACGTTGAACGATTTGTTCTTTGCAAGTGTACACATTCGTTGGGTCTCTCTGGTCAGACATCCCATCTGTAAGTGACTCCAGTTTGCACATGTGCCCTTTTGGAGGCTCCCCCCGTCTACGCACCTCGTTCTTCCCCCGCTGCTTAGTGAGAAGACGGCCTCGGCGGTACTGCCTCAATACACCCCTGTGCCGCCCAGCCAAGCAAACAACCTTGGAGAATAAAGACACGTATAAGGAGCACACGTATTGGTAGTTATCCCCCACGTAAAGACACTTACCCCTGACATTCTGCACAACTACATTAATGAGGAAGAGAAGAGAATAATTTAAAAATCTTCTGTTAATCACAAATCCACACAAAAAATTTATTAACAAATTTAAGTCTTCAATAAAATGCACATTTTTTAATTTCATTTTATATACATAGAGGATGAACCAATTGAAGACAAAAATGTTAACCCTAAAAATGAAGTAATCATTTAGAAGAAACACTTTACTCAAATAAAAGAAGACACTTCTTACTTCAATATCATTACACCTTCTGTTCAATTTTAAAAGAAAAGGAGACAACCGTTTCATTGCATTATACAAATATATTTTATTGAAGTCTAGGTAACGAGATTTTTTGCAAAAGACGTAGGATAACAAAATGATCCATTCGCATATATTTATATATTTTTTTTTTATTATATTTTTTTTTATTTCGTTGAGCATTTCATTGGTGCTGATATAATCCAGGCTCTTCAAATTGGTGTACACTTTCCGTTTGTTATGCTTGATGATGCAGGCTTTGTTCTCTCGGTGGGTTCCTCCACAAGAGTTGCTCTGTGGTTGCTGCCATTTCGTTTGGAAGCACTTTACTCCGCTGGGGTGTTTTACTGTTCTGTATACGACGCGTTCCTCCCTCTTCACCCCTCTGCTACAAACGCGAAGGAGAGATGATGCACACGTGTTGGGTTCTCTTTCCGGGATGGCGTCACCAGACCCATTACCACTTGCGTCGTTGCCTATTACACTGCTTACTGCCTTGCCTACGCTACATTTCGCGTCCCTAACTGGACTTCCCTCTCGCCCTATATGCACCTCGCTGTTACCGCTTCCTTCGCAGGAGCTTTCCGTTCTGGTGATATCGTCTGATGAGCAATCGAGGAGGTACTCCGAGCTTTCCTCTGCTGATTCGTAGTTTGAAGTCGTTTCGCTGTCATTGGTGTCGCTCTGACTTCCTTCCGTGTCGTTTGTACACCCTGCAGATGACGAGCTCTTTGCCATGTCTTCCTTCGCTGTTACCACCGTGTCGTCTTTCTGTTCATTCTCATGCGACATGTTCGGTTCTGACTTGACTACATTCGCTTGCTTTGCTTTACTGTTTTTTTTCTTCACCTCTGTGTCTCTGTGGGGAGGGGCACCTTCCTCCTGTTGCTCTTCCCCGACGTCACCATCGCTACGGTTGCTACTTGCACAACCGCGTTCGCTATCGCTGTCCTCCACTTCCTCCTCGCCGACCTCGAAATTCTGTTCTCCGGAGGCCCCATCAACAGAGTGAAAACCATCCTGTTCACTTACATCACTGGAGCTCATGCTTCCATACAAGTCCTCGCTGCCAGTGCTTGCGTCGTTGGCGGAATGATCATCGCTCGTGAGACTCTGCCCTGCACCCTCCTTGGGGACTTCCTTAAGGGATGCATCATTCTCCTCATGGTCCTTATCGCCTTCTGCTTCTTCCTCCTCCGCCTCATCGTCGTTGTCGTTGTCGTCCTCATTTTCCATATGCTCTTCCCCCCCTTCGCTATCCACGTCGCCCCGCTTGTCTTCGCTTACTTTTGGCGCAACCTTTATATTCACTTTCACTCCATCTACCCCTTTCTTCTGTGCTGCAATGGCGCCCTGTTCATTTTTTCCCTTCCTCGTGCGCTTCGTTATCGCCTTCCTGTGCAGCTCCCGCAAGCCACCACTGTCGTCGCTACGATCACTACCACCGTCATCACTGTTCACATGGGTGATTGCACCAGTGCCGACCATTCCACTCGCCGCCATCCTCTCGTCCGAATATGATAGGGGTCGCCCGCGATCAGAATCATCCTCAGGGCACTCACTGCCGCGCGTCTTCTCATCCGCATTCGAAGAAAACATGTCGCTTCGCTGGGAAGCGCCCACTCCTTTCCATGCCTCCTCGAAATTACTGTTCGTACTTTTTTTTTTTTCCCCACGGGGGGGATCTTTCTTTCGCTTTTTCACAAAATTTTCTGAACTGTTCAGGCTGCAACTTTCGCCTTCATCCACGCTTGTACTTCTACTTCCGCTTCCACCCCTGTCCTCCTCATTGTAGGAACTTCTGTTCCACTTGGCATTCAAAAATTCGATGACTGTTGGCCTCTTCCTCTTCCCCTGCTCGGGGACGGCCAGTCTTCCCTTCGTACTCTTACGTGCACACTTATGTGCACTTTTTTTTTTTTTTTTTTTTTTTTTTTTTTTTTTTTTTTTTTTTTTTTTTTTTTTTTTTTTTGTGCTTTTCACTTTATCACTCACGGTGCTGGTAAAGAAGGAAGACGAGGAGGACGAGTCGGAAGGCACTCCTCCATCGTCGCTCATTGAAAAACCCGACGATGCAGTGTCACTCGAGTTGTTTTCTCTTTTCCTCTCCCTTTTTCTGCGTCCTCTTCTGCCGTTTTCCCTACCCTCTTTGTAACTCCTCCTCACTTGGCCGTCACCCGATGCGTCGCTGCAACTGTCACTGTCGCTGTCGTCCCCTGCGGATGAAGCGCTTCTCCGACGTGTGTTCCTCCCTCTGGAGCTGAGGTGCGAGCTTATGCGTTTCACATTTGGCGCATAATGGAAACTGCTGAAGCGTTTTTGTTCACGCGCCCCATTAGTAGTGTGGGCAAACGAATCGTAGCTTCTCTTATGTTGTATCTTGTGTTCCCTCAAGTGGGTGTGCCTATGCATGGGCCGATGGGTCCGACCAATCATGTTGTCTTCTTTGTAGCATCCTGACTCTGTCGCTTCGCTCGCCTGAGTGTAAGACTTGCGATTTTGTGCATACGAAAAATCCCTGTCCAGAGGAGGCCCCCCTCCATATGCTTCTTTATATTGGTTCCTTCTGCATACACCTCCTGTTGTGGGCACACTTGGAGGGTACACCATGTGCCTGTTCCGACCAGCGTGCCTACCTACCGACTCGTTAGTATTCCCCCTAACGTAGCAGTGGCTGTTCCTCCCCGTTTGCCCCATGCCCATGGCGCTTCCTAAGGTGGTTCGCACGATCTCATTGTTAACTCTTAAACAGCTGTACGCATTTGCATCGTTAATGAAGTTTCCCTGGTTCACCTCGTTCTTGTACATAATATTGTTCGTGTCGATATCGCCAAGGGGGCGTGATGCTTCTGGGTAGGTGCCCATACGTTTCAGGTTTAGTCCTCCCCTCCCCGGTGTTACGTTATTCATTTGTACGTTGGGCGAGGCAACACATGGGATGGGCGCACCCATGCACATACCCGGTGCCGTAAGACAAGTAGTCCGTGTGGTCCCACTGGGGTGTGGCGAAAATATACTTATGGTAGGCATGGCCGTGCTCATCCGATTAGTGGTTAAAGAAGCATCTGAGTCCAGGTTTTCCCCCCCTGAGAGGCCAGTGGCAGAGGACTGAAAGGGATTTCCATCGGAGGCGAACGACCCACTGGTCGTATTCCTCGCACCCCCAGACGCCTTCATATTTAATTCTGTTACGCTGTTTCTAGTGCTGGAATTGAAGCAACTTAACGTACACCCATGTAGGGTTGGATAATTGAATGGGGCTGTGCACGGTCTGGTGCGCACCTGATTTAGGGTTATATAATCGTAGGCGTTGTGAGGTGCATTGGACGGATGAGTGGTGCTTTCCCCATTTGACCTCACACGTTCACTTACATGCTGAAAGGCATTCACATTTACATCGAGGAGGTGTGTTGATAGGGGGTTGCTAGGTTGACTCACTGTGCTTGCAGCTATTCCCCCAGGGTTGGTAACCTGGCTACCTGCGCTCGTGATGCGTTCTCCAAGTGGCTGGCGGAAAGCTCCGCTCACACCCTCGCGTGGGTCGTAGTTCAACCTCTGTGCTATGGCATTTCCATAATTGCTGCCTGCATTAAATGTTAAATTTTCCTTTGCGTTGAAATTTACGTTAGCGCTTTCTGGAGGATGGCTTACTGAGCTGTTATTAATAAAGGCACGACTCGAGCTTGCGCTGGGATGGGTGCCTGCTCAGTAAGGAAGAAAGTGTAACAAAGGGGAAAAAAAAAAAAAAAAAAAAAAAAAATGAGGACAAAATTGTACAGTAACAAGCTGCCACGATACACCTTGTTGGCCATGTCAGCCTTTTTTTTTTTTTTTTTTTCTTCCTTGGGTGGGGTACACAATGCGTATCGCACTTATATATTTTTCCCATTTCAATATATTACTTCCCAGCTTACCTCCGTTCGACGAGTAAACGCCGTACCCCAGGAATGGCCCGGACACCTTGTTTAACAGGCCCGCATCCTGGGTGCCTCCCTCACTGTCTGCATTGCGCCCCAAACAAGCACACTGCACACACAACCCACTCGTCCCATTCCAGTCATAACTCTGAGTCAACCCTTTAGACAAATAATCCCTCAAAAAGTCACGTGGGTTGTTGAAATTATTTCCTTTATTTACGTTTCCGATGTAAGGAGCCATGCCATTGTTGAGCGTGTTCATGTGAGAGGTGGACACGACTTTGTTAACCGTAGGCTCAAGACATGCATATGAATTTAGGAGATGCTCACAGAGGGGGTAGTTACTTGTAGGGTTCACTTGGCCGGTACTACTCACACTGTTGATCGAGCTCAAGCCCGATGCTGGCTGATAAAAACTGGAGGTGAGGTTCGCGTTGTACTCCCCCTGTATACTACCATAGCTGCCAACGCTGCGCACATTTTCGTTACTGACATAGCCCTGTGCGATTGTTTGGTTAACGCCCCTGTGATAGTTGCACGTATTGCTATCCATGGTTGTGCCGCCGCAGGGATACATGAGAGGTTATGTGTATAATAGTGTAAACGGTAACAACGGGTGTTACCGTTCGTGTACAAACCTTCCCTAAGAGACATTCACTCAAGGCATGTAGACAAATACGCTGTGGGTAAGCACACACATATATATATGAGTTGTTATTTTAACAATTGGGGCAAAGTTTAAAAAAAAAAAAAAAAAAGGAAAAAAACACTTTTAACTGTCCTCACATGATATGCACCTCACCGTTCGGCCAGGACAATTAATTGAACACAATTGGCATTAGGGAGGAGCGAAACGTAAAAAGTGTGCCCCAACAAATACCACTGAGCACAAGTAGCTCTTTTTACTAAACAGGAAACAAGCAGGGCTGTCACAGGGAGTACCAAACGGACACTTCCTTCTTATACGTTTTTGTGATAACACATTCGTTGGGAAATTTCTGGCGGTTATGTCTTCTATGTGTGCATCACCCACTGGGCAGAGCCCTTCAATTATATATTCGCCATACATGTGTTCATGTGCTTACAAATATGTGCACATGTACATACGCCCATACCCCTTACGAATGCTTGTCCGAGTCAGTTAAGGCACACCTGTTGGTGACAATCTGAAACTGCATTGTGTGCTTTAAAAGAAGAGTGGCCAAGCGGAGCACGAATGAACTATACTCATGTGTCTCCACGCGTAGATGTCTACTTAGAACCTGTTAATTTTTTTTTTTTTTTTTTTTAAAAAAAGGATATACATTACAAATAGGCCAATGTGACAGCTTTTCGCGGAGAAAAAAAAAAACAAAATGTTTACAAAATTTTTCACCCTTGCAAAAATAACATTATAATAAGAGGTGAATATTATGGTGAATCTGTTCCGCATGTGCATGTTGGCCTTGGCACTTGGCGCGATGACATGGGCATAGGTGTGTGCGCGGAAAAATGAGCATAAAATAAGCATACCTATGCGTTTTGCACCTCAGCAGGTAAAAGCTCTGTATAAGCGCAAGGTGTACAATTCACTGTTGCCGCATTTGATTTGGTTCATTTTAGCAATTGGGAGAAATGGGCGGTCCCTCCTTTGGCTACTTTCAAAAGGAATAAAATCACATGCGCCGGGAGACATGAGTGTGAAGATAATTTTAGGCCACAGTTTATGTGTCGAATGCGGGTGATGGTTTGCCCTATTGTGCTTCCCCCTCCCGACACGTCCTACATATGTCTTTAAAGGAGAATAAAATAATACGTACGTGTCTGAACATCTGTCCAAACAGTGGACACAACCAGGAATAGCCACTTAATATTGTGCCTTCCCTATGACAGGAACAGTTATTTAACAAGGAAAATATAACCCGTTAAAATGTACGCAAATGTGGGAGAACAAAAAGCTTCCCCCGTTATCCTCACGCATGAAAGAGAGAAATGCTTATGAACTAAAGAAATGATGTGTTTACTCCACAACTTGAGAAGTAACTGAAATGCCCCATTCTACAACTGAAGGTGTTCCTCTACATATTCGTTGTTCCTTCGCAAATCCCGTTATAGCATAACACACACAGTTTGGTGGAAAGGGGGGCGGAGGACCACGACCACTTCCCAATTCGGCTGAACTGTTCAGGTGAATGATAATATTTATGGATTTTTTTTTTTTTTTTACCACTCCTTTTTGGCTAGCTCACTGCTGCATACGGGAAGGTACAGACATGTGCACTTTCCTCCCTATACGTTTGTTTCACTTTACCTCTTAAGTAGGAATAACCTCAGTTGTGCTCGCCTTTGCAACATGTTCCTCAAAGTTATAATTCGTTGAACTTATCCATCACAGATCCTTTTAAGTGTGTCCCATTTTCCCCCTGTTTCCAATTTTGTTAATTGGCTGCCTGCCCACAATGTGTTGTATTTCCGTTTTGTTAAAAACTTTTTTTTTTTTTTTGTTTACCTGAACGGTTCATATGTTGTTAAAAAATTGCAAAGTTACGTTTTTTTTTTCCCAAGTTCTGCATTTTTATTTCGTTGTGTTTTATTGTATGCATTTTTGTATGCGCATCCGTGTGTGTGCATATATGGAGAATAACAAGGTATAAAAATAATTTGCTTTTGCGAACACACCAATGTGCATACTGCTGCGCTTTTGTGGCAGCTTTATCCTTGTGCTATGCTTCGTTCAGCATTACCTGCAACGTTTCACTTGTCGCCCACGACCGCCCCCCACATCGTCGAACCATGTGAACACACTTTCTCACTGTGGTGAAGGGTGCACCAATTTCCCTTGCAAAAGGAACGAAGTGGCCACACAAATAGGCCCAATGTTTCCTCAGGTGTTTCTGTTTCACTGCTTGTATGAATTAATTTGTATAAAAAATAAGAAAAAGAAAAAGAAAATAAAAAAAAAAAAAAAAAGTGAGAATCACTCCTTTGCGCCCAACTATATAATGACAAAGCGCATTCATACAAAGTTTCCATTCACTTTTCCTTTGTCCCTTGCTACACAATTCATGTGATGAAATAGAAGCCCTTTTTTACTAACACCGGAAATGAACGCACATATGTGAGATTCGGCACATGTATATGTACCGGAGTACTCATGCATGTCCCCTTCTAATGTGCTGAAATGGGGAAAATATTGACCTACTTCCTGAGGTCTAATTGGCATGAGGGAAAAAAAAAAGAAAAAAAAACTAAATAACGTACGTTGTGTCAGCACAACTGTAGGAATATTTCTTTCTTTTTTTTTTTTTTTTTTTCTTTCCCCAATTCGACTTCGCCCCCGCACCCTACAACACGAACTGCTGTTTAGTAAGCCACACGAGGGCCTGAGAACGCGGGAAAAAAACACAAAAGGGGGGAACACATCACCAATTTTTAGGTGAACCAGAAGGTTGAAGAAGCAGATAGGAACAGGCACATAAGTAATGCTCCTGCGTGAGTGCGTCTCCCGAGCAAACGAAGAATGAATATTTTCGAAGAAAATGAAGTGCATGACGTGGGGTTCCAACCAGATGGCGGCCTCAAGCATGACGGTGGCTTACAATCCGATGACGACCTGCTTGTAAATAACCCCAACCACGAGCACGTGATATTTCCCCCCACTAGCATGAATGCCCATAATTCGAAGAACCAACATGAACTAAAAGATTCCGACCTGTTCCTAACATTGAATAACAATTTTGCACCCAGCAAAAACTCCATTTCAGAGGAATGCATTTTGAAAGAAGGCGAAGTGAAAGCCCATCCATGGAAGGACCCAGGTCCCACTTCTCAGGATCTGTTACATTGCTATAAGGGGAAGGATGATCAAGACGAAAAAAAATATTTGTACTCGGTGCACAGTGAAAACGAAGCCACCTCCATCGAATTGACATACGATGGTTTTTTAAATGACAACAGCTACTGCAAGTCTAGGAGTATGTCCATGAATTTTACAGATCACTCCGACGACTACGGCGGGAGTTGTGCTCCTCCGGTGGGGAAAGTAAATGACAACGCGCAAAATCCTGTGAAGGGGGAGGCTAGTGTGGATAGGGGTGATGGAGGCAATAATGATGAGCAGTGTGACAATCAGGAGGGTGACACGAAGGTGGGTGTACATGATGAGGAGAATCAGCATAGCGACGCGAATCAACATGGCGACGCGAATAAGCATATCGAAGTTAATGAAAGCTGCAAAGTCCCCGGGGATGGAGACCATGACAAGGACGGGAAGGCAAATGACGACAACGGGGGGGGACACCGACGAGGCAGTGACAATAAAGGGGACGACGGGGGACAGGGCTACGAAGAGCACGACGAGGAGGGTGCAGGGAGTGACAATAAAGAGGCAAAAGAAGGCAGTGACAGTGAGGGGAACAAAGTTGATGAGCACAACGGTGGTGAGGTAGATGGCCGCCATGATAATCTTCAGCAAAACGCAGCAGCAAAAAATAGTGATGAGGAGGAAGGGATGCATGATGGCGTCGATGCGCAGAAGGCCAACCCAGTGCAGGAAGTCACTCCAGTGGAGGAAGGCACCCCCGCAGATGCCCCCACCGTGGCGGACCTCCAGAGTGAGATAACGCAGCTGAAGGAGGACATACAGAATATGAAAAAGGAGAAAATACACCTACTGGCCAAATTTAAGGCCTACACATTGAACAACAAAAGGGAGATCGAACGCTTGGAGGTGGAGTGCAAAGGTAGGGGGGACGAACTTAGAACGCTGGAGGAGGAGTGCAGAGGGAAAGAGTGTCAAATTGAACAGCTTAGGGATCAACTTGCGCAGCTGCAGGAAGCGCAGGCAAAGATGGACAGGGAGGCGAAGGCCCACGCGGAAGAAGTGAACAGGTTGCAAACAGAAAACGATTGCTTAAAGGTCCAGATTGAAGAAGAACAGTTAAAACTGGAAGAGCTCCAAAGTAGTATTAGTGAGCAGTGCGCGCAAGGGAACAAATTGAAATTAGATCTTCAGGACAAGGACGTGTTGTTTCTCTTTTCCACTGAGTCGAATCATCTGGTGTGCTTCACCAAAGATGGAGAGTACCACATCGTCGAGGAGGAATTGTTCAGACAGAGTTACCCTACTGTGCACGTACCGACGTGTGTGCAGGACGAACACTTGAACCAGTTAACGGCGCATAAAAAGGAGCAAGCTTTTCAGGTAGAAACAATTGCACAGGAGAAAGCCCGCATTGAGGAGGAGAAAGCCTGCATTGAAGAAGAGTTCCAGACGTACAAGAACAAAGTAAACACTTTGATTAATGAAACAAATGACAGTTGGAAGCATATAGAAGAGAAAAATGACACAATACAAAAGTTGCATAACTCACTGTTGAAATATGAAGAAGACATTGAGTCATACAAAAATGAAATATCTAGCATGACGGAAAAGTACAAGGTGCTGGAGGGACAAGTGTGTAAAGAAAAAAATATAAGGGAACAACAGAACGTTCTGGTAGCTGAGTTGAAGAAGCAGATGCAGAGGGAGAAGGCGGAGATAAGGAAAAAGTGCAAGGAGCAGTTTGATGAGGAATGCCAGCAGAAGGTTAACGAGGTGAAGGCAATTTTCAGTGAGAAGGAGGCGCTGCTACAGGACAAGATACAGATGCTGCTGCGGCAGGTGGATCGCATGGTCGTCCTCGCCAGCGAGGAGAAGTCAAAACTGAAGCGGGCCCACTCTCACTCCGAGTCACAATCGGAAACGCAGCCGTTGGAGGAATCGACGGCGGCAGGCGAAGCGCTGCCCCCCCTGAGTGGATCCCCCACTGAGGAGACATGGCGCAGCGGAGCGGTCGCCCAGGAGACGAGAGACGTCAAACAACCCGCTCGCTCAGAGATTGGCAGCGAGGGCAACATCGACTCGGTTGTCCTCAAACAGATGAATACAGGGGGAGGTTTGTCCCACTGCGACGCCGCCAGCCACTTCGAGAAGGACAAAAATGATGATGACACCAGGATACCTATATATCCCAACGAATATAAAAAAATTAGAAAAAAACTGGACAAATATGAACTGCTCATAAGCAAAGAAAAAAAGGACAAAAAAAATTTATTAGAACATATTAACGCTTTGTGTAGCCAAATAAAGAATTATGAATCCATTAGTGGAAATTACGAACACGTCTTATACCAGAAGAACATTTTGCAGAACTTCATCGCGCAGATCCCTTCTAATATAAAAATTGACGACTACGTTTCGGTCATTTACAACACTTTTAATTTTTCCGCGCAGGAGATCGAGCTAATAAATGCCAAGCGTGCTAAGCGGTGATTTATTTAAAATAGGGTGCCTTTTTTTTTGTGTCTTCCCTATATGCTGCGCACGTTTGGCTTCTCCCCCTGGGGGGTCCACCCACCTGCATGTGGTGTCTTCACATCCTTTGTTTTTGTGTCCCTTTTGAAGAGATTTTTTTTTTTTTTTTTTTTTGTGTGCATGCATGTTTTTGCAAGCGTGCGCGTTTTGTATGAACGTTCATATAATATGCCTATCCTGTGCGACATTTTTTTTTTCCCTTTTTATTTTTCCCCTCCCCTATTTGGCGTCTTCACTTGATATGTGTCACGTCGCCGGGGGGAAAAAAACACCTGGTCTGTTTTCTTTAACATAAATCACCGCATGCCCCCCTCAGGGCGCTTTCTCTCTTTTGACAACCTTCGACAGATCGATCGTGCAGTCGTCCAACGTTGTGCAGTGTGAAGGGGCGAGAAGGGGTTCCCCACGGGTCGGTTTGTAGAGGGACGCATATGGCAATTTACAACATGTTAATAGATGAGAGGGCGCGGAGGCGCGTGCCGAGAGTTCAGCGGCCTGCTGACTGCGCCCGCTGAGTGTTGACGGGACAAAGTTTGTACATACTACTTACGTGTGCAAAGAGGCAAAGCATGTAAAGAGGCGAAGCGTATAAACAAAAAGGCAAAGCGTTCACAGGGGAAAAACTTGGCTAGCGGCGATGGGAGTTGTACTTGTACATGAAGAGGTCATATGTATGGCGAGGAAAAAACAAGGCACAATATATATAGTACGCACAAAATGGGCACAACAGCATGCGGAAAGTGGGGGGGGAAAAAAAAAAAAAAAGGAAAAAAAAGATCACTGTCGCCGCATCGTGTAGGCTTGCAGTTAGGGGACATGACAAGGAGGGTTAAAAAAATCAGTGGCACGAAAGAGGGGTCATCCTGAAAATGGAGGAGAGGCCCAAAATGGTGGGTATCAAAAAATGACAAAAAAAAAAAAAAAAAAAAAAAAAAAAAAAAAAAAAAAAATTATTAATTAGTTCACTTGGTTGTAAAAAGGCGTGGCTGGGGTGTCCATCTGTTCATCTGCTAGTCTGCCTGCCAGTCCGTTTGCTAATTCGTGTGATGGTCCGTCTGCTACGCTGTGTCCACTGCTGGGATATGCCGACGCCTAATTGGAGTCCTTGAGCGTGGTGGTGGCCCAGCCGTAGAGCAGGCCCAGGAGGAGGATCAGAAAGAAGCAAATCATCACGTAGGTAATGACAAAGTTGTCCATCACCGCGAGGAAGAAGATGGTGAGAATCACAAACACGAGATTCACGAAGGACATGAACAGCCCCACGAAGTTGTAGATGTCCGACTTGGACTCCCGCACGTACTTCTGGAGGTTTCGGGAGATCCTGCAGGGGGGGTTGTAAACATAACGTCAATGAGTGGTTGCGCGAATGAGCAATTAGAGATTGCGTGAAGCAAACGCGCTGTTGGAGTGAGCAGCGGGCAGGTATCACCACGCACTGCGCGCCGCTCTCGCATGAAGGCAAAACTTACGTTGTCTTCAAGTTGGTCGAAAAGAAAAAGTAGAACAGGCAGCAGAAAATGTAGAAGATTAAAAAGCTGTAAATGTTCAGGTGGTTGATCATCAGGAAAGGGAAGAAGAAGAACAGGAGGGATGCTCCGGACAGGATGATTCCGCTGCAGGGGGGGGGAAAGAGGCGATGAAGAAATGAAGCGGTGACGGAGCGAAGCGGTTGAGTAGCGTAACGATGACGCTGCAAACATGCTGCGCCCCTTCGCTGCGTCATGAAAAACTCACATGAAAATGTCCTTGAGGGCGATGATGTTCTTCTTGTTGGAGTAGTAAGAAATATTCTCGAAGCACTTGGTCAGGGAAATCAGGATGACGGCGATGAGCAGCTGCACGAAAATATTAGTAATGTAGAAGAACTCGCACACGTAGATGGACGTTAGAGGGATGAGCATGAGGATCATAATGTCTTCCACACTGTTGAGGAAAGAGAGAGAGCATATGTAAAAGCGCAGCGTGTTGTCATTTTTAATACGAAGGACATTATCAACCATTTCGTTAAACTGCTTTCTGTAGTGGCTCTTCAAGGACATTTGATCGAACCCAGTGTGCTCATCATATTCAATGTTAGAACGTTCGGTCAGGTATTTCTTCGTGTGGTCATTGTATATATTGGGATAGGTGCTGTATGTTAAAGTTTTTTCTTCCTTGTTGCTATGTCTAGCGTAGTACTTTTCAAATTCATCTTCGTTATCACGCTGTTGATCATTTTCTTCTTCTTCTCTTCTATGTGTAGAACGATTTGCATGTCGCTTCATGGTACCCATATCATGATCTTCCTCCTCATCCTCATGATTATCCATTCCATTTCTGTCGTAGTTACCCGCTTCAACCATATTGTGTACACTTTCATCCGCTGTGGCTTGTGATTCTAAGCAAGAAGAATGTCGCTTGCGGGACGTGCGCTTGAGTGTATTTTCAGCTTCTTCCAAGCCCATGGTGTAAACGACTAAGGAAATAATCGTGATGACAGCGAAGATTAATGAAGAGAGATAAATGAAGACATCCCTCAGGTAGGAGTCGCTGAAGAAATTACTGAACAAGTACATAACAAATATAATTAAGGGGTTCACCAAAATAACGGATGCGTCGAAAAAGAACTGGTGAAGGATGAGGAATTTTCTTTTAGCTCTTTCATTAATCTTCAAATTATATTTCTTCGAAAGAAAATCAATTCCATTATTATCGATGTCGATTAAATTGGAGATGTTGACTTGTATATTATCAACCAGAAGGAGGAGAGTGAAGAGGAATTCGTAGAAGCGATTCACATAGTACTTTTTAATTTCATCACGGAAGAGGGTGTAGAGGCAAGGGACGCAGAAACCCCATACAATGAGCCTAACCGTGTTAGTAGCTATGAGGAAAAATTTGACACTCTTGGACCTCACAAGGTAAATCGATAGTGGGGTAAAAAGGAAGAGGGTTAAAAAGGATACCATTCTGTATACGTAAAATACGGAGAAGTGTTCGAACATAGTGAATAGCATAAAAGAGGTGATGGCCCAATGGAAAGAGGTCCTAATAATATTTAGCACTTGTCCAATAATATACTTTTTCAACACGTCGTCACTGAATAAAGAGTCATCATCTACACTAGACGTGGAGTTCACCTGATCTGATGATGCATAATTAATTTCATAAAAATCATTTTTGCTTCCATAATGGTCTTCTCCTCCTTTTTTGGATCCTTTTTTTTTTTTTAAATTTTCATATATCGAATTGTACACTTCACTGAATTTCTTATCATCGACATTTTCTTTCTTTTTCTTCTTCCCCTTTTCCATTAATTTTTTTTTTTTCTTGTCCATTTTTTTCAGCTGCTCTTGGTTGAAAGGGGCTTCGTCCTCCTGCTCGTAATCTCCCTGGTCAGGGTGATGGCTCCATCCTGCATTGTCTCCTCCTTCCTCATCGTGGCCCTGGTTGCCATATGCACCCCCGTTAAAACGCATATCCCCACTTGGATCCTCTTGGCTGACACCTCCGCCTACTCCCTCCTCGAAATTGTTAAAAGAACAATAGGGGGTGTTTTCTTCTCCTGCGTTTTTTTTATCCTTGTCCCCCTTGCTCCTACCAAATATTGATTCGTACTTGCTTTTTTTTTTTTTACTTGGTGCGTTGCTCAAGAGGTCCTTGTTCAGGTTATTGCTGTAGTTCCCTTCATATGAGTAATCACCTGCACCCACTGCTCCTTCCTCTGCATTGTTCTGAACGTGTGATGTGTATTCCTCTTGGTAGGTGGCCCCTTCTTGCTCCCCTTGTTCGTAACCTGCATTGTCATAATGGGCACCCTCGTAGTCGTCGTTTCTCTGACCTGAAGTTTTCATCCCGTCGTCCATTTCTGAGCCATGTACGGCTTCGTCCTCCATGTAGAACCTCGACATGCCTTCCTCGGCGTATGAATCCATTAGTTGCGCATGGAGAGGGGGTTTAATGCGGCAAGATTTCCTTTTCTTGCAGGCTTGGTGCTTTTTTAAATTTAGTCCGCTCCGTCGACGTGACGCAAGTAGATCACTGACCTCCTTAAATTTATTAAAACAGGGATGAAGGTAGATGCACTCGTACTGCTATATATATAATGGCATATAGAAGGCAAATTACTCCCCGCTCTGATACAGGGATATAAGACAAATTTGAACGAAGGACTTATGCTGATTGGGCGGGGTCTTCGCGGTTACTTGAAGACTATGTAGTGACGAGGTTTACAAACAGGTGCTACATGCAACGCGTACCAAGACGTGTTTTATAAAGATAGGGGGCAAAGCAAATTAAGCTTGTTCTTCGTTCCTCCTTTTTTTTTCTCTCTTTTGCTGCTTCCCTCCCGCGCGATGCTGGGCGCACAGCTTTGCTACTCCTCGGCTGTTGCTCCTGTTATGCGTACAAGTGCATGGGCACATAGAACTCTCACGTACTTGCCTGCGCGAACTTCACTGTACATATATCTATCACGCATACGCAGGTAAAAAGTAAAAGGTACAATATATAAAAAAAAGGTCAAACAAGGAATCCTTTAACAATTTTTTTTTTCCTTCATAAAAGTCTCCCGCTCAATATCATGCGGTAAAAAGTGTTCATATAGCGTGTAAAGGAAAAAAAAAAAAAAAAAAATGAAATGAAACAAAATGCTTCACAGCTTTTTATATAGTTTCATATTTTTTTTTTTTTTTTTTTTTTTTTTTTGTTTCCAATTTTCGCTGTGCCCATTACGGCGAAAAATTTTTCATGCGAGAAAAAAAATAAAAAAATAAATAAAATGGTGGCAGAGACTTCTTCCGCGGGGTGGAGATAGCACTTTTTTGTCGTGTCAAGGGCCGACGGCGAAAACAAATCTTTCATACGTAACGGACAAAAACATGCCACACGAGGTATTATTGTGCCCGATTGGGGTTGGGCTGAGTAACAGCTGAGAAGAAACCGTTTCCCCCACAAGGTTACATAAAAAGCTGCAACGCTCAGGAGCGCACAACGCTCTTTTTTTCTTATCAGGGCTCTTATGCCTGGATGGGCATAATCTTGTTATAGGAAGAAGCATTTCGAAGTGGTTCATGGTACGACGGTAGGGAAAAGAACCCACGCATAAGGCACCTTTTTTATATGAGGGGAACAATAAGAATGGGCCAATGAGGAGAACTCTTATAAAAATGAGGGCTTTATAATGCCTGCCCCAGTCGCCCCCTCATGGGAAGTACATTGAATTGAACGTGCCTACTAGGGGCGGGTGAGAACATTTGAGAATGTATTCCCCCCACGTCAGCAGCATATGGGCCTCCTGACGCGACACGGCTTAAATCCTTTTTAATGCACGTATTATAGCTCCTGCATAAATACTCTACCTAAGGTCACCTACGAGCGCAGCCGTTCATATATCCCGTGTCATGTGGCCTTGTTTTTTAAGGGTCGCATTTTGGAATGCCATTTTTCACTGCACTAGGGGGACGGAAGGAAAAGGCAATCCCGTACGCGCGGCTTCAAATTATAAATGGGCAAGTATTAAACCATGCTCATATAAAAGTATATAATAGTCAGCACCGCATGGCGTGGTTTAAGGGTGCTCAGCCATTTAGTCCAAAGCCCACCATGAACTCGCTGCGGAATGAAATTTAAAAAATAGCTAATCAATTGAGTAAATCTGGTATTTCTCCTTATATGGCCATTTAAAAAAAAAAAAAAAAAAATATATTCTTTTCCCCACTTAATGAACTTACCCCCCTTTCGGCTGTTTCCCATTTTGTGGCTACAACAGGGGGAAAATGGAATGAAAAAAAAAAAAAAATCATCACAACAAAACATGGCCACGACCAACTTGTAAAAGCTGAGCGAGACTGTGGAGGATCGCACTGAGACGCCAGGAAAGTATTTCTTTCCAAAATGGCACATCATATGGAGAAAAAAAAAATAATAATAATAAAAAATAAAATAAAAAAGACCCGCCGGCGTTATTTCGAGGCAGGGTTTACACACGCTGTGCACATATATGTACATACATGAATACATGCGTCCGTATATTTATTTGCATACTTGTTCTTCCATTTGCATGACGCCAGCCCGGGCCAGCTCCACAACGCATAACAGGACAATCGAACGATGAGGCAGGATGGCGTTCAGGTTTAAGCGGGAAGGCTGCTACAGCAAAAACAGGCTAAGCGAGCTGTTCCGGAAAAACCAGAGCTTCGTCAACCAGCTCATGTACGATGTGACGGCCTTCCACTACGAGAACTACATGAAAAATAAAATTCGCCAAAGCATAATGAACAACTACAACAGTAAGGAGAAAATGTAAACAGGGGGGAAGGGAGAAGGGGCAAAGGGACATAGAAGAAAAGTGGACACAAGCCCCCATAAGGCTAACGCAACAGTGAACATTACTGTAGACGTGTATGCACGTTGCTGCCTCCTTCGACAGACGCCTGAGGGGGCATTTGGTTACCCCGTGACGAGTATTCATGGTGGAGCCCTGTCCCTTGGGCCAATATGCTATGTATATGCCTCGCATGTTCTCGCCCACATTTTGACCAATGACTCAAATTTTCCCCATTCCTCAGACATTGAAAAAATACAGTCCATGCTAAGTTTAATAAACGGCGATAAGGAAAATGCCTTCAAAATTAAAACGGGTATCTTTGCGCAATGGCCGCTCCAGCGGTTGTACCCCGCTGGTGTTGCGGGACACGTGACCAACAACCCTGCAACCATGAAACTTGCTACTTACTAACCTGCTTCTACTTTCCAATTCCCCCCATTCATATCCTCCCCAGGACACTTCTTCTTCCGAACCGGAGTGCCAGTTATAACGCCACACATCCAGCAGACCAACGAGTTCGCAGAAAACAACAACTACGTGTACAATTTTAAAACCATCAAAAAAAAGTACCTCAAAGATGCTTACGATTCGTACAAGCACAAAATTGGCGGGACCGACCCCTCCGTTCCCCTTTTTTACAAGCATAAGTGAGAACGGCATCTTTGTAACGGTTTGCAGGAAAAAAACAAGAATTATGTGCGCTCATCGGCATGACGTAGCTGTAGCTAGCCAAAATGTCATTATTCTGTGAAAAAAAAAAAAAAAAATTCCCAAAATGCCTGAACAGGTCATACAATTTGGAAATTTCTTTTGTACAGCGGAGAGAGATAGAGAGAAGGTGACCTACACATATGGGAAAAAGGGAAAGACATTCTCGAACGAATTGTCTCATCTGTGTAGAAGAACTTCTTTTTCCCCATATTTTTGTGTACCAACCCCTTTGCGCTTTTTCTCCTCCATTTTTGTTTTGATTAGTTCGTCGTTTTCATTGCTCCATCAACTTATCCCCATCATCCCTGATGGGTGAAAAGAAGCAACGTAACACGTTTTCGCATTTACTCATTGTTGTAAGTTCCGCACCTTGGTTCGTTCGGTGGGAGAACGGACAGAAAAGTTTTATAAATGTGCATCACGCATGCAACACGGGAAAATCAAAAAAGGGGGAAAAATAAAAAAAAAAAAAAAAACGGATAAGCTATTAATCGTGGAAAAACGCGGAGAACCGGCGATGCCGATCGAGCTGCCACTCTCACACCTGACGCAGCTGACCCGTCTTGGCCGAAACGCGCTTAAGGGTAACAGTTGCGGAAGGGTGAGGGGGAGTAACAAACAATGGAGGGATCACAAATGAACAGTCGTCGCCATCGACGAGGAGGTTTGTAAGCTGGTACGGGAGAAACGCACAAAGCACATTGGCTACCCGCACATCTTTGCCACTGCTTCCTACTTCTACCTATACTTCTACATCTACTTCATGAGAAAGTCGGCGTACACCTGGTTGAGGTCCACTTCCAAAAACAAATCATTGATCTCGTTCTCCACGGAGTTCAACTCCTTGAGCAGAATGAACGTCTCGTCCTTGGGTTTCTTCATAGAATATTTGTAAAAATTTAATTTAATTTTTTTGGACAGATACACCAAAATGAGGCGGATATTTTTGCACGAGTGCACGGAAACTTTTTTCTTTTTTTTTTTTTTCTTCTTTCCCAATTCGTTCATGTCGCAATTAGGCAAACAATGCACATGGTTCCACTTTTCATTTGCCATGCTGTACATATCATCGGAGGACATCTGTTCATCATTGTCTACATTTGGCATCAGGTGAGACAAATGGCTCAAATCGTTGGAGCTGCTATTACTAGCGTCGTCAGGGTCATCCGAAGAGTCAGAAAAAATTGCACCCATATTGTCTTTCGAAAAATTGTTGGAGAAACTACTCCTTACAGAGTTCACAGAGGAGCTACTTAAGTTATTTTCACACGAGGAGTACCCAGACAGCTGATTCTTGGTGTTTATTATGTACTCACTTAGGTAGTTGTCACAGTAGTAGAGGCTGTTCTGGACATTGTTGGAGTAGCCACTGTGGCGATCTCCTTGTTCATTTTCGTTTTCCATCTCGTCGAGGAATGTGACCTCTGCTTCGTTCGCTTGGATATTTCTGGTGCTGTTTTGAACAGGGGGGGTTGGGCTTGTACTTCTCGCGCTTCCTTCCCCAGTAGCTGCAATTGCCTGGTTCGCACTATTCGTGTCTGCCCCTGCGTCGGCGCCCAATTTGTGTTTCTTGTGAGGACTTGAGGGCGTGTATAGCTTTTCAATAATGTCGAGGAAGGCAATAAATTTTCCCTCTTCCGTTTTTGCTTTATTTTGTAGAGCGGTGTTCTTTATCATGTGAGATGGGGACATGCTGCTTACTTTGTTAAACGGATCATCCTCCTGATTGGCATTCAATAGAATGGTGATTATATCGTCCTTGTCGCCATCAGCGTTTTGTTCCATGAGGTTGGCACAGGAAGCGAAATAATCCTCCTCCCCATCCTTCAACACATTCTTTTTCGGTGTTCTACCATCCGGTTGGAAACTAACTCCTTCGATCATGTCCTCATTGGTTGCCAAATCCTTTTCCACGTTGCTGTCAAGTGCGTGTGGGGTGTCCATTGGTATATTTCCTCCCCCTACTCCCTGCATACGCACGCCCGGGAGACCACTTCGCAAAGGGGTGCCTCCAACATTACCGCCATTAATCTCCTCCATGTCGTTAAGGTCGTTCCTTTCCCCTCTGGTGTAGTTACCCATATCCTTGTGCGCTGAAAAGGAGTTCCTCTTTATGGAAATGTCTTTGAAGAAAATCCAGGAGTAAAAGTTGAGGAAGCTCACATTACGCTTGACCAAAATGTTGATGATAATGAGGAGGGTCTTTAGAAGAGAAAGCACATCTTCATTGTTGTACGAGTTGAAGTCATAAATATAAGTGTCCTCATCCTTGTCCACATTCTTTAAGTCCTCCACCGCAATCTTGTACTTCATACGCTCGACATGGTAAATCTGAAGTATGAGCGAAATGAATGTTGGGATGATGATATAAATTTCATTTTCGTCATTCTTAATGATGATGGTGCAAATTAGAATTAATATTTCTCTATACAACTTCAAGTCGGTGCAGAATTTTAAATACTCTGAAATATTTTCTGCAATTTTTGGCAGGTGAGCCAGGTAGAAATTTCGATTTCCTGCTAAAATGATCAGTGACAATTTGTTAATATAATTAATCCTTGAATTTATAATGTTAAATTTGAGGGAGAAAATGCTACTCGTGGGGACTAACAACAACTCATCAATATTGGACTCGTTGAGTTTTTTGAAAATGCTTGCCAATGCTTTGAAGCAACGTATGTCCACGTTGGTGATGTAGGCATACAAGTCAAAGGTAATTTTCTTTATATAATATTTGCAGTTGTAGTTGTAGTCGATAAGCAGATTCATGATCAGCAAAAAGGAGTAGCGGAAGAACACATTCTGAATACTGTTGTTATAAATGAGGGAAAGGTACTTGTTAAAATTTTCATAAAATAAGTTAACTGATGATTCACAAATATAGCTCTTCATCTGACTTGCGGCGTTTCCACTACCAGCTTGATTGTTGCCACTGGTGTGGTTGCTACTGTGTGATGTGGCGTGTGCAGCGGCGTTCCCTGTACCGTGAACAGCACCATGATTTGTACCACTACCGCTCGCTGTACCATCCCCCGAAGTGCCGCTATGCACTATAACATGATAAAAACAAAGAAGAAGGAAAGACAAGGCGTTGATGGCAGCTATCTCCGAATAATCATTAATGTTAAATGTTCTCTCTATAAGCTTCAAATTCTTCATATAATAACTTTTTGCATTTTTTTTTCTTTTTTTAAAAAAATTATTACTTATGAAATAATCCTGAACAATGTAATAAATATTAAAAGGCAGGACAAAATTTGGAAGAGGAGTTTGTACATTGTAATTATTTTTCACATTCTTGGAGTAGTAACTGTAAAGAGAAATCTGTATCAATATACTTATCTGCTCGAGGATAATTTTCTTTTGTAACTTGTCATTAAATACGTACTGATGATTATTTTCGATAACGAAGAGTATGTACAAAAACCAAAGGCTGCTCATAATATTTTGAGATGTCTGTGTAATTTTTTTTATGAGTGAAAACATAAAATCGATAAAGCAGTTGATAATTCTTTTGGTAAGTGTGCAAATGTTCAAATAAATGTGAAATACAAAATACATAAATTCATTTATGTTAATTTTTGTCTTATATTTTTCATAATAATTTAATAAATCATCCAAAATTTTGACCAATATATCATCATGAAATTCTGTTAACAGAGTTAGCGAAAATGATAATTTTTTTTTTTCGATAAATTCACCTGACTCGTTCATAACAATCATACTTTTTTTCATCGAGCTTTTTCCAAATTTTCCAATAAAATTAAATTTTTGTAACAATTTTTTTTCCCTTCTAAAGTATTCTCTTATTCTTTCCTTTCTAATTGTTTTTTTTCCGCTGCCCATGTTGATGTTTGCCCGTCCCATAATCGCTCCATTATCGTCAACGAAAGGGTCCACGTGCTCTTGTATAATTTTCTGCTCATCGTGGTCACTGTCGCTATCGCTATCGTCAAAATCACTATCGTGATCGTTCCCTTCATAATTGTACTCGTTGTACTCGTCCCTATCGTATTCGTTTTCACTGTCGTTGCCATCAGAGCTGTCATCATCATCGTCGTCGTCTTCGTCGTCGTAATCGTTGTCACCGACTGCAAGCTGCTCACCGTGTCCCATGCGCGCCACCCTCATGACGCCCTTCAAAAATCGGTTCCTGTGTTCATGTGTGTACGAAGCCGTGTCATCATCCGAATCCTCCGCCTTTTCCTGCTTGTACTCCTTCCTCTTCGCAATGTATTCCTTAAACAACGTATACAGGCTATCTATAAAGAGGAAGTCGTTTCTCGTCACAAAGTACAGCAATTTATTTATTGAAATTATATTCCGCAAGCACACTTTGAGTAGGAGTATCTTTTTGTTTCGCTTGGATCCTTCGATCGTCGTCCCATTACTCTTTAGCTTTCCTCTGTACAAGAAGGAGTGTTCTATTCGCTTGGACAAGGCTAGCGTACTGTCGTCGGTTTTCGTAAACGTGTTGTTGTCACTGTGAGCGTTGAAGCTGAGGCCTCTGGTCAAAGACCCCAAAGCTGCTGCTCCTCCTCCTGTGGTGACTCCCGCGCCCGTTGCCATATCCACGTCACCCATCATATTCGCCAACTGATTGCTGTTAAACGTTCTATTCTCCAAACCAGGCATGTGCTGGCGAGCGGCCCCCTCTCCTTGCATGTTGGTTCGTAGAAGACCTACTCCTGAATTGCCCCCTCCAAGGTTACCTCCTCTCTGTTGGCTTCCCCCCATGCCCAACGCATCTCCATGCATCGACATGGCCCCATCCATTTGAACCTTGTCATTTCCATAGCCAACATTTCCGTAGTACGCGCTTTTATAAGCCCCGCTCACCATGGCGCTATTCAAGTTGTCTCCCTTTCTGTACATCCCTTGAGCAACCACCTCGCTGCTGCCTTTGTTCAAATTTTCTCGATAAATATATTTGCCGCTCGGGTACGCCCCCACTGTTCCTACATTACCATGCGAGAATTCACCATCAACATTTGTGCCCCCTGGGAAGACAAAACTTCCGTTGTCCTCTGCGTAACTCTGACCCAGGCAATCGCTCTCTGATCCTAGCAGTTCGTTGCCACTTGCCAAGTGCTGGGCCTGCGCGAAGCTTTTGTCTCCTCCAACTGAAGCGACGCTTCCCATGTTTAGCGGTTCCACGACACGCCGATCCATGCCAAGGTTCTCCATGCTAAGGGGTTCTACACGCAGATGATCTACTGAAAGATTGTCCACACTTAGAGACCCCATGTGCTCATTTCCAACAGCTCCTGGCATCCTACCCCCATAAGCATAATCCCCTGTGGCGTACTGCCCGTAGGATGATGCACCCCGTTCAAGAGGGGCCGCTACGTTGCTGCCCAGCGCTTCCATGCCAAGTGCCTTATCCATGGCTGTATTGACCACTGCGTCCAATGCTGCGTCCGACTCTATACCTTCCCCTATATTCATGCGTAAAGTTCTGTCCGCTGTGCTACTCAAATGCATTGTGTCCTCCATAAAAGCGTCTTGGTTCATTCGAATGGCTTCCTCGGCGCGCTCGGCGCTGCTCATGCGGAGGGCATGATGTGAGTCGCTATTCATAGGTGTGTGTTTGACAGGACTTCCTGCATGTGCTAGTGCGCCTCCTCCTTGAACAAAGACATTACCAAACATACCAGGATCATTATTGCTGCTATTAAGTGGGTCGACTGTTACGCCAGCCTGGTCGACACTTCCAACAACAGCGGCACCTGTTCCAACGGGGCCACCATTCTCATTGTACATGCTACCATTATTATTATAAACGCTACTGTTATTGTTATACACGCTACTACTATTATTGTTGTAGTGGCTGCTATTTGGGGGTGCGTTACGATCATCCTGAGTGAGGAGACTTCTATTATTTCGGCAGTAGACTCTGAGTTTCTTCTTCAAGTAAGCATATAAATTAAAAATGACTGAAAAGAGAGTGGAAATATTTTTCTGCTGAACAGTAATAAATTTATCATCGGTTTTGATTGAAAAAACAGAGCAAAAAGCAGCAGTGGAAATTTTGCCTTCACATAAACTATTTTCAATATCATCAACAGTTATATTTTCATCGTATTCAAATCTGTTTGGAAATTTCATTTGTGCTTTTAATTCATCTTTGTAAATAATTTTAAATACTTCACTTAAAAATTCACAAAACTTCATAATAAAAAAAATATTTTTTTTTTTTTTTTCTGTTTCTGATTTGATAATGTATAACAGGTCCAAAAAGAAAACAGTCAGGTAGTACGATTTTACATCTTTTTCCACGATAATATTTTCAATAAGAAAAATAATTGTTTTGAGTAACTCTTTATAAATTACCTGTTCATTAAAATTAAATATGACTGTCATACTTTTCCTGAGGATGCTAAATATGAAGACATCATTTTTTACAAGGAGATTATTTTTATTAACTAATTCGTAATGGTACTTGCTGGCCAAAATAAATTCTTCATAATTGGTGTGTTTCATGACTTTACCAAATGTGATATCCTTCTCTAACACATCACATGAGAAGACATTTTTGTCTGTGTTCGTTTCGTATAAGGGGAGTATGTTCTTTATGAAATTTATTAACTGGATTTGCAGAATGTAATATTTCTTCAGGGTGAAGTAAAAGTAGAGGAAGAGGATGTGATGAATGAGTTGTCGGTAGTAGCTGTTGAGAATTTTTATGTAGTCCATTTTTTTATTCGAGCTGTATGCGCAGAAGAACATGTGTGCCATGAGGTTGATGACGTCTCGCTTGAACTCTAGCAGCATGCTTTGCTTGAGCAAATTCTTTTCCTTCTGCGAGGAGCCGCCGTTAGCGGGGGTACTAACGATGGCCGCATTAGTGTTGCTATTGTTAGCAGCATTAACCGCGTGTGCTGCGTGTGCTGCGTGTGTCGCGTGTGCCGCATGGCCGACCTTGTTGGTGTCGCTGACCCCGCTGGCCGCGCTCTCTCCAGCACTAGTGCCAATCTCCCCCACGTTCTCATTAATATAAATGATCTTCAAAAAGAGTAGGAAAAAGACATCGAGGTAGTTTCTAAAATAAGCTGCACTCATATTCCCCTCGGTGCAAATGTAGCACATCACAATCTGGAGGTTCTTTTCATAATTCTCTAGTGACATTTTGTTCCTGGCGTTATAAATTTTTTTACTGACTCTGTGTTTGTATAACCACAACATGAAATTTTCCACGCCCATGAAAAAGAAATGAATGTAATCAAATTTACACTTCAATTTTCGTAAGCACTTTTCAAAATTATTTTGTGTATTTGTGTGTTGGCCTGTGAGAGGCGGGCCGCCAAGTGTTGCGCTGCTACCCACCACTGCTACTTCTTCATAACTGGCACCTGCACTTGCTCCATGATCTCCTCCTCCCTCTGCGCTAGACAACAGCAACCCCTCCTCAATTTCATTAATTAAATCAAACATGTTAATAATTATATTATCCAATATGTAAGCCAAATTCTTTTTATTACTTTTTATATATTTAATCATGTAATAATTAATCAGGGTATTTCTGCGACTGTATAGCTTAAAAACATCATGAGTCAAATTATAAAAATTAGAGTGAATGATATGGTACTCACTGGTTTCATTATTTAAGATGAATTGAAGAATTACTCTCACGTTTATTGTTAATTCGTAATTGTCCTTGCACTTGAGGGAATTTCTTAAAATCTTCAAACAATAATTATTATCACAGAAAAAATACAAATAATTTATGTCGAAAAATATTTTTATGAATTTTTTATTTTTCCTTAACACCTTAATGTAGTGGAAAATGCACTTGACTATTTTATTCGCGTAAATCAATAGCCCTTCCATGAAGGATTTACTGAAGAGAAGTGCCTGTTCCGATTTTGAACAATTGTTGCGATGGAAATTGTTTCTCTTCTTTCCCTTCAGCCCTTCCACAATTCTCCTCTCGCTGTATTCTCCTCCTGAGAGGTTCATTTGATTTTTCACTTGGCTTTCTATCACATCGCTTACTGTTCCTCCGACAAGCGGCTCCCGCTGCTGCTCCCGCTGCTGCTGCAGCTGCTCCTGCTGCTGCAGCTGCATTTTTGACCCCTTCCTTTTCCCGTAGTACATTTTGCTCGCACCAACGGGACTGTCGGTTGTCACGTCCTGCCCAACGATCGGCTTGGAACTCTTTAGGAGTGATCGGTTAAAGTTTATTCTGACCACGTGCAGGAACAGGACACACCAGAAGTAAAATTTGTCCTGATTGTCAGTGGAGCAATTTTTTAAGATGTGTCTGAGGAAGAAGTAGCAGCTTCTGTTCACATGCTCCTTATCCACTAGAAGGTGAAAATTGTAAAAAAGAAAAATTCCGTACTCATAATTATTTGCGAAGAAGTAGAGGTCGCTGTTCTTTACAAATGCGTCGTTCAGGTTCCGCATCAGCTTGCGTCTATACTTGATCAGTATGGAGAAAAAGCGCTCGTCATTTTCGAGTTTAGCTCTGTAGTTATAGCTGTTGTGGCTGCCCTGACCGCTTTGCCCGAAGGTAGATCTCCCTGAGTAACCTCTACCCGTGCTCGCTACATCGTTGAGGGGCGATCTCGTACTAGTCACATCCATGGCGTAGTTCCTACCCTCACCTTCCGCCCTCTGCAAATGGGTAGCGTTGTAAATGCTGCTCGTGTTGGCAGAAGACCCGTCGTTCACGTCACTCTCAAACATCTTCTTCTTGACCTTCCTCTTCATATAATCCATGGAGGTATCGGCCATTCTTATTTTCAATTCCTTGTCATTGGTGTACTGTTCATATTTTATCCTATTGTCTTGTGTTTTGTACTCATCTTCTACGCCATTCGTTCTGGCTTCCCCTATTTTCTGCATTTTGTTCCTCTTCTCTTCCACGGGTGTCGTGACTTGGTTAGGGAAGCCCATGTGATTCTGTAGGGGCACTTGATTGGCTCCGCTTCCCCGACGAAGGATAGCACGATAGAAAGTGCTTTCCTTGGCCAGAAAGACGAAGCATCTGTTGAGGTAATAATTGTTGTAGTGCATGACGAAGAAGAAGAAGTAGTAGAGGGAGCTGTGCCTACGTGAGATAACTTCGTGCAAGTCCATAAAGTACTTATCGCTGATCTCCTTGACATGACTATATTTCACAAACAAGGAGAGCATGACCAAATTCAAGCGTCTCATCAATCTTAAAATGGCTACACTGAAGGAAAATAAAAAGTAAGTGTACACATAGCGATTCATTCTACGTAGAAAATCGACAAAGTAGGTCATAATATTCATAAGATTTGTAAACTGTTTTGTATACGTATCGACATTCTGCCTGAGCATGCCTTCATAACTCTTCAAAAGGAAATAAAAGGTACAAAGGAAAATACTCATAATATGGTCGAAGCTAATTAAATTTAAGGTCAGTACATTTTTGAAGAAATGCTTTATCCTCTTATCTCTTCTATTCTTATAACAAAAGTTCAAAAGGAAGAGAAAGATTTTATGCACGATTTGTTTGTTTATATTTACATAGTCCATATTTTTTAGCAGAGTGTAGAGTACATGTAAGACGCTCGGACAATTGTCGTGAAATTTATTCTCGAGGATGTCAATCATTGTTTCCACAAACACTTTATAATTTTCTATATTAATAATTCCTTCCTTAAGATTTTTTTCATCATTATTTTCGAATAAGTAAAGGTATTTAAAAATTCTTCTGTTCAATCCGATATCTCCTTTTTGTAGTAAAAAAATCACATTACGTGCGATGATTTTTTTACTTACATCGTTGAAGAGAACACATGGGCTGGTCGTTGACTCTAATTCTTCCTTCACCCCTCCCTGTGAACGTCCTGTTGTTCGTGAAGTGATCACTCCTTCCATATCACCACTGCCCATTTCTTCTACATTGCGTCGCTCCGGGTCAATATCATATCGGACCTTCTTCACGTCACTTCGAGGCAATGGAGAGGGGAAATCATCCCTCACATCGCTGCGTGACCCGCTGCCAAAATTACTCAACTCGGAAATGGGTCCATCAAACCCCTCCACTTCGTGCTTCTCGAGCATCTTCTCGTTGTCTTCATATTTTTCTTCTTTACTGACCATCGCAAATGAGTCCTCATGTTGATATTCATATGAAGCAGATCGATCGTCATTAATATCAACTTCGTGGTTACCGCTCCATAGTGCTTGGCTCATAGTTCCTCCTATTTTTCCCATGAGGGGGTTACTGCCATGACTTGCCTTGGTCAATCCTCCACTGTATTCTCCACTACCTTCCTCCTCTTGGTCATTATCACTGTGATACCTCTTCTTAGAATTTCCTCTTTCATATTTTTCACTTAAACGTAGAGGAGCCGCAACCCCATCTTCCGTCACTCGATCTTCTGCTACCCGTCCATTTCTCCCTTGTAAAGTGCGCGCAGTGTAGGAAGCGGACCTGGCCACAGCTGAGTCAATAGCGGCATGCTCGACATTTCTACCACCATAATCAGCACTGGCTTGGTTATGTTGGTAGTCTCGTGGAATATAATCAATACTTCTTCCTCCTGCCCAAGGAGCTCCCCCTTTTTTGCGGCTTCTTAAATTTACCTGACTGAGGGGAAAATTGTTAATGAGCAAACTGAGCGTGATCCGCTGGTTAATAATATTCTTATCCTTGAGGCAAAAGATTATTGAAGACAAAACCAAGTCATCCTTGAAAGGAAGAAGCATGTTAATTCTGTCCTTGGAAAGTAATTGAATTTGAGGACTGAAGGAAGTTTCTAAAAAGTGTAAAATGTTTGTCCTGATTTCTGTATGCCTTAGTAGGAGTAGCCATATGTTATTAAAAAATATTTTTTCCCCAATATAATTATTAATGGAGTAAATGTATAGTAATATATTATTGTCACTATCTACCACATTAAAAAGGGAAAGGAGTAAAGCGTATGCGAATATGTAAACATTTTCACGTAAATTCAATATGCTCCTTATATTCTTAAAATAAACGGTCTTCAAATTAATTGTACAATGTAACATAAATTCAAAAATTCCAGAGCATAAAATGTGAATGCTATTTATAAAGAAACTTTTTTCTGCCTTTTTAAAAATAACTGAGTATATGATTAAGGCTTTGGAGTGAACTCCGGATGGCAGCAGTGGATTAAGACATTGTGACAATCGCCTGAACAGCAAGAATTTTGACGCCACGTCCACAAAGATGTCGTACTTCTCGATGGTCAAATATAATTTTTGTAAAATGTTACTTAGGTCTGCCCATTCTTGTACCTTTTCAAATAGCAACAGGATGTTTGTTATGTCGTTGTTCAGTTTTTTCCTCAGGATCCTCTTAGACCCGTCCGGCTTTTTTATCATCTTGCGATACTCTGCTCGGTGACTCCGTGAAGCGGTTAAGCGGCTACTCCGTTACGCGGTTACTCGGTTAAGCGGCTACTCCAGCAGCGCATGTCGAGCAACGGGGGGGAACAAAAAATAACACAATAAAGGGAGCGTCACGCGGGATGGCTGCTCCACGGGCAAAACAAAAAATAAGAAAATGAAGGGGTACGCTCAGATCATGTAAAAATGTCGACAGGGGGTACACATACATATACATACATATGCATATACGTATATATGCACGAATGCGCGGTCAGGTAGGCTAGGCCAGACACCCAATTAGGTAGCATTGCGCTGTGACGCATGTCAACCCCGCCAATGGGGTAGTAACTGCGTTGTCACATCCGCCCCAGCCACACCCTGCAGAGCTGTTCGCGTCCACAGAACTTGTATTTGCCCTAATCCCCAACAGGCCACCCTGGGGATGCTAGGAAGTTTATAACATGTGGAAGGAATTCACGCACGAGCATGCAGGTTTTACATAATATGGTAACAACTGCTCAAGTGAATTGTTACGCCGTGTTTGGCTTTCCTCCACAATTGCTTTTCTGCTGTGGAGAAGAAAAAAAAAAAAAAATAAAAAATAAAATAACTGCTTCTTCGCGCTGGGAAGAAAAAGTTTTGCAAAATGGGAAAAAAAAAAAAAAAAAAAAAAAAAAAAAAGAAACAGCAAAGCGCGTGTACCGCATAAAACATGCGCAACTATGAATATACATATTTTTACATACACGGCGATACGTATATTCCCTCGTTGGGAAATCGCTTGACAGAAGTTGGTTTTTTCTCCCTTCTGTTCCCTTCGTCGCCAGTTCGCCCTTTTTTACCACGTTTTTTTTTTTTACGACTTTTTTTTTTTTTTTTTTTTTTTTTCCTGCCGCATGTTCACCAAGTGCCGTGAATTTATTTCCTAAACGGGAGTTCACGTTCCCAACGTTGAATGTCATGCCGGGGTGCCTTTTCCCTCCCTTGCGGTTCCCCTTTTCTCGCTCCGCGGCTATACCATAAAACCACCAAACCGTGTGCACTTTACATTTTTATGCAGCACGTATGCCCCTGTTCACAATACAGTATTGTGGGGGAGTTGCCGTACCGCCGCCCAGTTGTATGCTTTTTTAAAACCAAGCAAGAACCACTAATCATGACGATGCACGAAATTCTGATTTGGAAAAACATGTTGCCCCCACTCATCGGATCGGCATATGACTTGGTCATGCGGCTTTGCCTTTCATCTACGTTTTTTTGTTGTTGGAAAATTTGTTTTAAAAAGGGAGAAAAAAAAACGATTAAAAAAAAAAAAAAAAAAAAAAAGTAACACGGAAAAAAAAACAAAATAAAATAAACTTGACAACATGCAGCCAGAGCAATTAGCCACCACGTGACACACGACGGCTGAGGGAACAAATGGAAAAAGAGTTGTGGGGGTCTTACGATAAAATTTGTGCATACCCATACGCATTGGGTGATATGCAGTTATGCACTTGCGTGGACGCTTCTTCACCCCCCTCGTGTGTATATGCGGTAGTGTCAGAAGGGCGATAGAGGTCTGTCTCGTCCACGCGGCGGTCAGCAAGGAACCCACTCCCGTGTTCAAGAGGAATGCCAGGCGGGAAGCCCAATGGCACTTCGCACGAGAAAGTGCTTAGTTCACGTGTTGGCTCGCCTGTTCACCAACCTGCTCGGTCACTGCTTCACGCTGTTGTTGGGTCGTTACTTTGTCTGGCCCCCCTCGCAGGTGCAGTATGACCGGGCAGTGGTCGGAGCCGTAAAAGTTTTTGTGGAACACGCTGTACCCATGTATTTCAACCTTTTCCACGTGGGGCATGAAGGCCCTGGACACGATGAAGTGGTCGATGCGCATGGCTTTGTTGCAACTCTTCCCCATGAGGAAGGGGCAGCGCCACGTGTATATATTGTCATTTATATCACGAGTCCCTTTATCGGTGGCCCCTTTACCGGTCTCCCCTTTCTTGCTGATGTCTAGGTTTGCCAAGTGCCTATACGAGTCGACGAGATCACCTGCGGAGAGGATACCCATAAAATTTTTTCGTTCAAAATCGGTGCAACCAGGTTGCCCCACGAATTCCTTAGGTACGTTCCCCTTTCTCATTCTTCTAAACTCAGCAGGGTGCGATAAGTCTATGTCTTCCGGTGCGATGTTAAGATCGCCTGTCCACACCAAGTTCTTTTTTTTATTCCTCACAACGGACACGAACTCCTTTAACTGCTCATCGAACAATCTCCTTCGCTCAAACTTCACTGCGTCAAACCCATTGTTGGGTGTATATGTACTTAACAGATAAAACGTGTTGAACTCCACAATGATCACTCTACCCTCCTGATGATGTTCGCTCGGGTCAGAATCAAAGCAGAGATTGTAACGAATGGACTTGACCGGTATGCTCTTCTTTATTAAGATCAGCTGACCACTGTATTTTATATTGGCTAAACTGAAATACGCATTGTAGTTTTTAAAATCTTCTTTTAAAATTTTTTCCATCACTTCAAAATCAAGTTGACTTTTTTGATCCGTGTTTTTTATTTTTCCTCTGTCCCTTTGTCCATGTTTTGAATTTTTCAAGTCAAAAAGGTTAAGGGCTGGTAAACGTACCTCCTGAAAACACAACACATCCGCATTGATTTGATTAAAAAATTTCATGAAGGCATTCCACTTGTCCTTATTTTTGTATCTTACCGTTATGCTATTCATGTTCCATGTAACAATTGTTTTTACTTGTTCCTCTTCTTCTTTTTTTATTTCCCCCGATTGGACATTTTCCATCGCCTTTAAAATGGCTGTGCCGAGTTTTTGCTTGCCCTCCGCTGCACACACACAGGATGAAGAAGCGGCCGGTGTGTCATCCTTCTCAATCTTCACCTGCTCTATTTTTTCCTTACTAATCGGGACACCCTTTTCAATCTTCACCTGGTCGTAGTTTTCCCTCGCTGCTGCTTCCCCAATCGGGACAATCTTCGTCCTCTTGACCGGCTCGCACGACTCCCCCAATTTCCCCTCCTCAACCTCCTTCCTCTTATTTGATTGAATTTCTTCCAACATTTTTACCTGACCTGTGCAGGCATTTAACGTCTTCAACTGCTGTGCAGGTAACTGCGTGTGCACCAGTTTGACGATGCCCTGGCGGGTGGAGAAACTCTTGATTGGAATACAAAGGGAGATAAGGCTTGCTCTTGCACGTAGCATTAATTAAGAGCGCCAGTCTTTTCCCAACGGGGTGTGAAGTCCATCGAAGTGTTTACATCCGCCCGCGTGTTCGCCTTTCAACAGGGGATGTGGCCGAAGCGAGGGTTGTTGCGCCCTTTTGTATTAAAGTTGGGTGGACCGAATAATCCTCGCGCACAGTTCAGCTACGTAACAGAGTAGCAGCGTTAACAGCACGTGTAACCACCCCGATGAGCAACAATCCACCAGGCGGGACAAAGCAAATCGCTACGTGGGGAAAACGCGCAAAGCCCAGTTCGGTCTCCACGCGGGGCACAAATATTGGCCATACCTCTAGCTCGTGCAATCGTTTAGCAATTCCGCGCGCGAAAAAAAA